AATAGCTTGTGCATGGTTGGCGTCATTGGGTGCCAATCATACAGTTTCACATACAATTTTGCTGTTTCGTACGCATACGTATCAAATTTATCAGCATCTATTTTGTGGCCACTTGAAATAGCTTTTAAAATAACTTTAAATCTGTAAATAAGATCAAAGCTAATTCCTGTAATGTCTGAAGCCAATTCGGGGTTTTCAAAAAATCTGCGGCTTGTGTTGCCAAAGTTGGCCTTTGGCATGTCAACGAGTAGTCCGGTTTCATTCCAAAACCTCTCCTGAATTTCCGACTTCTTTTGGACTTCTAATGTCTTTTCTTCTTCAGTTTTTCTTTCCCTGTATTTTTGTACAGGTAGTTTATATGCAAGGTGTATAATACTTTCAAAAATACGGATCCGACAAACCGAATTCCAAAGCTTGAGGGTTTACAGTATTTTTCATTGACAAATCATTAAAGTTCTTCGAGGTAGCCTCACAAATGTAGCACTGTGATGTTGACTTTGTGTCTGTGGCTGCGTTTCACACCTTACCGTTAATCATACTCATTGTGAGTTGGTGTCCGAACGAAAACTCTTCTTCATTTAACGTAACAACTGTACAGTTTAGTTGTTTAATAGGTAGACTCCTGCACATATTTTATTTCTTCTTTAGTTACATCTGTTATTTCTTTCACAAGTCTAAATCGAATTGGCCGGCAAAATTTTGACGAAGAAGGGGTTGGATTTTGCCATATAATTTAACTACCGTTTTTTCCACAAACAATGCGCAAAGGTACAAAGGAACTTGTTTAAATTTGGATTGTTGGGCACCGTCACAACCACATTTGCAAATTATCATTCAAGACTTCCTCTCTTGCTTTTTGCTCCTGATTTTTTCAGGAAAACACCTAGGTGTTTATTTGATTTTGCCCATCGTTGCTTAATTTGTGATTTTATATTAGAATATTTTTGTTTGAAGACATCTTTAGCCTCTTGGTTTTGCCCATAACGCATTAGGAGAAAATTCTCATAATAGTCAAGTTTTTTATTTAATGTTGGTAAATTTTGACTTTGTAATTGGTCGAATATATATTGACGAATCACTACTTTAGTACCCGATGCAGTAGGTAGACCTGAAACAAATGAAAAACGAGTTTAATACAAAATAACGCAAACTCAATATTTTGAAACATTTGACATAGAGCATTTCAAAGAGGCTTAACTCAAAAAAGCGCGAATTTGCGCGGCTGTTTTTTATAGAATTACTTAGTTACATATGTCAAGTATTTATTACAATAAAAATTATGACAGAGACGGACTAAGAAGTACTTTAAAACAGTTATTGAATATAAATTGATGTATAAAAATACATTATGAACAAGGTGATGTTTGTCGTGTTCAAAATTAATGATAGATAATGTGAACTGAGTTATTGTGTTTTCAAAAACAATAGTTCTTACCTGTATTATCGCAATCCATTACAATTAAAACGAAACAATAAGCTTGAAATGAATAATGCACTTAAGAAAGTTATAAATTTGGGAGAGCGTCGAAAACTAACACGTACAAACTCGTTCACTGTCGAATTCGAATGACCGTAGGCCAGCTCCGGCGCTTCGTTCGTGGATGGAGGGGATATTATATTGTAGGTGGAACTGTTGACTCACCGAAACGGTTGATAGCTTACCGTTATTTCGACTTTTAAAAAATGACTTGGCCGCCTAAATATCTAAAATATATGTACATCGGTAACAAAATAAGGTCCAGGGGGTTACAAGATCGGTGAGAATGGTAAGTGCCTGAACAATTCTAATAAAGCATCGATTCTCTTTGAGCGTTAGTTGTTGAAGTTAATATAACTAAGGGAGTTTGATTATTTTCATTGGAAGTACGAGACCTTTGTCTTTCTGGGGGTCTGTTGTTCCTGCGAACTTCTACGGGAGAGACGAAAGTTGACGTGGGTTGAGATTTAATCGATAACTGTACCATACTTTCCTTAAGACGTTTTACTAAAGCGGTAAACTCAGCGACGGTCGAAGTATCTTGCAGGATTATGTGTTAAGCTAATTCGGGTGCTACGTTTCTACGTAAATTCCGACGGATTCTCCTCTCTTTTGCTTTCTGGACTTACTTTGGTCCCAAATTTCTTCATCGTAATCTGGCGGGAGAAAAGTTTCCTTTACGATATCTGCCCAAGACGAAACGGTATGCTTAACGCTACGGTACCATACACGAAAACAATTCCACTGTTGACCGGAAATTAATATCTGGTCCAATATTTCTGGATTCGACCAAATCGTCAACTTTCTCTACAAACGAATATACGAACTTTGGCTCACCTGTAAACTTTATATTCCAGTCTGATAAATGAGTTCTCTGGAAATACATGATTGTTAACGGTGTAGTAAGTGAGGAAGAATTCGGCAGTTGGGGTATTTTGGATGAAGCAGGGCTATGACAGCTACGTGCCTCTGGCAAAGGGGTACTAAACGGAACAGAAACATAAGAAAGACCTACACGGTTACTACCTTGATACGAACGAGAGCTTCGACGAAGAGTAGCTTCTGCCACTAAGCATGACATTCGTAATTTAACCAAACTGTCTGATGTCAAAGAATTATCGTTCGGGATTACGACCAAACGTATCCGGTGATAGACGTGCCATAGACGAGATGTAACGGTACGGGAAGATACATCGGCATCTCCTTCGGTGATTTGTTTAATCAAATCTTTAATATCTGCAATGGAATCCTTGATGCTCTGTAATTCGTCCTCAAATTTCCGTAATTTGAGTAATTTGTCAGTACCAATTATCGGGGTACTATTTTCGATAAGCAAATTCAGAACACTTCGCTTATCTTCCAATGGAGTATCTAACGGTACAGTACCTCTAATGCACAACTCATAATCTACTTGCTCTTCAAGTAAATCGTCAACAAAAAGGGATGCCATGGTTCGACTTGAGTATCCAGAACGAAAAGTTTACGAGAAATTATGACGAACAAGACCACAAAACTGTAGTACAGTAAGTTACAAAGCTAGACTACGATAACGAGACTAGATGACAATCGAAACCGTTATCCGGAAGTACGAAACGACACTAAAAAGAAACAGAAGAAACGAAACGTAATAGCTAGACACAAGTAAACTCGTAGCCACATCGCGTTTGGCCGCTTTTTAAGTGTAAACTACAATTTTTGAACAAACTTCACGGTCCAGGAAGCTATTTATGTATTATACACAAGCACCAAGCCCCACGTTGGCAGCGCCATTTATGTGAGTGAACCTTGGGTGTCAATTAGGAGGCAACAATCTAGAGGTTCCGACATTATGGGTAATAACGCACCGTTGCTCATTAACGTACTCGGAGGGGTCGTGGATCTAGAGGCAGTGTGCAGTGTCGTAGCTAGAGAGGATTCAGAAATTTACAAAACAAAACAAAACGACAAACAAGGTTGGGCGCCAACTACCAACTACCTGCGTAGGAATTTGTCGGTAAGAGCCGAAAAGATACGATTAACCGAACCGTTGTGAATTTAACTAGGAGGTATTTGAATTACTGATGTTGTTTAAATATGTAAATATATACGGAATAAAAATTGACAATTGTGGATCATATGATTGAAGAAAATGGAAAATATTGATAATAATCAAATTTATTTTGCGCAAACAAAAAAATATAAAGAATGTTAGTTCCAAGTTGGATACTCAATGCGCACTGTAATTTACTAAGAAATATTCACAACGCAACATAAACATAAAAATCATATCGACATAGACATAAAATGGATAGTCATTATCATGGGCGTCCGCAGGACCAAAACTAGGGGGGGGGGCAGATTTGAGAAATAAAAAAATTGGTTAGATAAGATAATTGGTATTGGTTATAATACATATAGATGTAAATTGAGAGTCTTCACTGAGAGGGGAAAGGGGTTTCCCTCAGAAAAGTTTTGAAAATAACGTTTTTGGAGCCAAAATTATAACTCAACGCCTTCATACAAAAATGAAGCAAACTAAATATAATTTAAATATTTAAAAACTTTTTTAATGCTTTTTACAAAAACGTGATGCAAATTTAACAAGTTTATTTCCTCCTGGATAAGCCTTCGATTTGTGAAGCAATATAAATTGTCTGTTCCTAAACATTATTATTTAAACAATAATTTACGCGGATCAATTGTAAATTCTTGTAAAACTTTCTCTATAAACTCTTCCTTTTTTGGTAATCAGATCTATTCTGTAACTTTTGACAAATCGAATAGAAATCACCAAGTCGAATCGTAATTACTCGAAATCGGAATGTTGGATATCTATCGCGTCGTTTTTGTGTTTGGATTGGCATTCTGTAACTCACATCGTAATCGGTGTAAACCGAAAACGTCAACTTCTACTTGACGCGCTCAGCAGTTGGTGGCAACCCCGCATTGAAACGCGAAAGAAGTGTTCTGTGACGTTAAGTTACTGGAAAGGCTAGTGCTCGCGAAAAATTCATCAAAAAAGAAGATTATATTTCACGTCAAGTAGTTTTGACATGTTTTGGTTAAGTTTGAAAAGTTCGTTACAAGAATACAAAATGGCAAGCGGGAAAGCAAAGAAAATGTTATTTGCTGAGCAGTTAAATTATTTAGTAAACTTTATCTAAATAAATAACACCACAGACTAAAAAATGAAGTAGGAAGTAGCTACAAAAATTAATCAACCTCTAGTTTAGATCAAAAAGTCAACAAATAAATGTCAAAACAACCAATGCGCAAGCGTCAAGACCAATTTCAATGTCGAAATTTGATCTCGACAGAGCTTGTCTAGTCGAAATCAATTTCTACACAACATTCCGATAGTAGAGGTCGAGATGAGTTACAGAATACCGATTCCTACAAATTCCGATCCGACTTGCTGACCTCTACTCGATTTGACTCCTTTCTATTCGATTTGTAGTTACAGAATAGGGCTGAATATTTGTTTCCGATGAATGCTCATTAGAGCTAACCCATTAAGGCGGTCTTCGACCATTGTACTCCGCAATCATGTTTTTATTCTTCGAAGACTGCTGAATGATCTCTCAACTGTACACGTAGTGCAAGGCAATACGAGAATTTCCAGCAATTTTTTTGTTAACGGATAAAAAGTAGTGGACGCTCGAACCAGTTCAAAAATTTCAAGGGTGTTGAAGTTATCTAACTCATTATTAAGTAGGTTTTTATTCCAGTGTTCTACCCATACTTCTAGCTCTGCATCTATTCCATCTATTTTATAGTGGTTTAAGGATTGTCTCAGTTCTAATTTAAGGCAATTTAAATCAATTTTTGAAAAATGCTTGGGATGCAGAAGACTCAGAGCGAAGGCTGGCGTATTTTCTTCGGAAAATCGTGTCTCTAGAGAAGATATGATAGAATCCAGATACGGAAGAATCATGGATCGCCTCCAGTATTCAGTAGGCGTATCAGCTGGTTGATTGCTTCTATGCTGTTGCTTGCTTACAGTTCTAGGGGTAGATAATTCAAAACCGCATTCTTCGGCTATCTTATTGGCTTCATGCAATAAAGTGTTCGTTACGTTCTCTGCGTTCTGTCTGTGTTTTTTTAAAATATCCATGATTTGACGAATATGTTCCGCTACCTTTAAAACATTAGTTTGCGCAGATTGTAGGCGGTTGACTATAGGCTCTAGGTATTCAGAATATTTTGCAATCAAAATGACAGCGACAATAAATCCTGACTTGCATGCCGCAGAATGCAACTGATAAGATGTTTTTCTAGTGGCCAAATTTCCTTCAACGGATAGAGTTTGCAAGGCCTGTACAATTTCAATGAAATTTTTTCGAAAAACCCTAATTACCTTGTATTTCTCGGACCACCGTGTTTCGCAGAGGCTAGGGATATTTGCTATCATATTCCTTCTTAATACTGATTCACGGAAGAAATTGGTTATGTTTTTAATAGTGGCAATAGTATTTCGCACTTCATTTAAACGGTTCAAATCGTTCACAACTAAATTTAATCTGTGTGACGCACAGTGGAAAAAAAGATTTGCTGTATTTTTTGCTTAAAATTGCTTGAACTCCGCCTTCCTTTCCCGACATAGTGGAGCAACCATCAAACCCCAGGCCGACACATTTGAGAGGATCAACTTCATGATTTGTCAGGAAATCATCAATTGCCTTTGCAATGCTTAGTGCATTCAGAGCATCGAGCTGAACAAACCCTGTAAATTCTTCACGAATTTCTTCTGCTTCTTCATCAAAATATCTCAAACCAATTAACAACTGTTCTTTGCCTGAAATGTCAGCGGTTTCGTCAGCTAATATTGCGTAGTAGTTAGCTTTTTTGACTTTTTCAAAAATTTCTCTTCTAATTACTTGGCGGCAGATGTTACTTACTTCATTTTATATCCTCACTGACTTGTATGACGCATTCTTAGCGCCATGTTCAAAATGCTCCTGCAAAATTTTGTCTCCGGCATCAATTCGAAAATTACACAAGTCTTGGAAAACACCCTCACTCGATTCTTTCCCACGGAGAGGTAAATCTTGAGTGCCTGAGAAGACGATACATAAGATAACTGAACAAAGGACTTTTCTGTTAGTTTCTATTGTTTTGCTCGCAAACTCGTTGATCTGAATGTCAACAGGTTTTGCTGTTAAAAAAGCTTCCGCAGCCTCGCTAGCCATCTTATGGTATTGATTTTTGCATGATCTTTGCAACATGTGTGGACATCTTTGTATTTATTAAAAGCCCTTATCATAAATGACCCCAATGTCCCTTTGATTGTCCCTTTCGATGGAGGAAAGACGACACAGAATTTACAAAAGGCTCCTTTCAAGCGCTTTGAATATACTAGCCACGGGCTATATAAGTCCAACCATTTATGGTTAAATTTTCTTTTTAAATGTGCAGCATCTCTCACAAAATCTTTTTCTTTCAGCAATTTCATTTTTTCTTGAACTGACAGCCTAGATACACTTCCCACGTATCTGCCAATATCATAAATGTGGTCATCAGTATGTAAGGACGATAACTCGGTATCTGATACTTCTTTGTCTTTCGTATTTCCTAAGAGCGGCTCTGTTGGAACATCTGAACTAGTTGACGGAACATCCAGTTTGCTTATTTTATAAACGCATTCATCTCTGCAAGTGCCGGGGGGCTTGGATTGTTTTTTCTTTTCTGGCCTTAAGAACCTAAAAACAGAAAAATGCTGGTACCCCAATATCTTCATGTTTTCTTGCCCACTCCCCATCCTTTAGTTTAGGCTATTGTTCACAATGAAAAATTTGAAATAATAAGGAAGAAAATCGAAACAGAATTTTCATGATTGAATATGTTGATAAGTGTGGTATAGGTACACTTCCCGTCATATAAAACTTGTACACTTTTTTTTTCCAATGTAAATCTGGGTTTCTCACTGGACACAATAGTTGTCAAAATCACCTGACTGACAAATCGACTGACAAAATTACTTCGTTGTTGTCATCACAGATAACAGAATTGCACTAAATCTAAATACCCAAAAATAACGTTTAAAAATTAAGTTACGTTTTTAGATAAGTGTTATTTTTATCATTAACAATTGACAATCATTGAAGAAACCTGGAAAAGCTTGGCTGAACATAAAAATATATCACTAAATTTAATTAACTTAGTGCCCAGAAGATTACAAGAAGTGATTAATAATAATGGATCTATGACAAAATATTAATATTTCAGCAGTTTCGAAATTATAATACACTTTTAGATTCCACACTTGTTTACTGTAAAAGTTATTTATTTTGTATTAATTTCACATTAAATTTTTAATCTTTCCCACATGTTTTATTTATTTTAGTAGCCCACAACTCAATACAGTTTTCTGCTACACTTACGAGAAACCAATTACACCTCTTGATTTTAAAATTAAACATAATAATTTAAAGTCATGTCTAGATTTATTATCTATCTTTATTTTTTAATCGAAATATTTTCATAAATTATAATAAAATACGAAAATTATTAATGTATGAGTACTTAATTGATATGACGAACCTTAATATAACAATATCAAAAACAAAACACAAATTTTATATTTCAAAAATGAAATTTGTTTTTTAAAAAATATTTTTATTTCTAAGCTACAAATAAATACATCTAAACTGAACAAGACCAAGAATAATAATGATTTTACAATGCGAATAATTAAAGAAACAATATGATAACTTCTAGGGGAAACTGCAGAGTAAGTTGCAGGTGTTGGTTGCGATTCTGCCAGGTCCGGACTTTCGTACCATGTAACTCCTCCATCCTTAAGAGGAAAAAATAACGGAGGTATTTTTGGATTCCAAATTTTGGGGACATCTTTCTTCCAATGGAATTTCGTCAGGAACCTTCTTATTTTTGCAATACTTTCGGTATCTGGTGATGATGTAAATTATAACGATTAATTTACATCATCATTTCGTATTTTATATAATTTCGATAATTAATTTCGTATAGTCCTTCCATATCGATTTTGCTCAAATTGGTTACTTGATATTTTACCTTTTCAGTCGAGAAATTTTCTAGTTTTGGTAATATTATGATTTTTCCAGATTGGATTCGTGGATTGTTTGAAAATTTTAAGGTTCCAACTTCTATTTCACATTTTGGTGGGATTTCTATTAACGAAGGATCTTTTATTTCCAAAAACGAATTGGACTCACATTTTGAGATTAATTTGACAGTACTGGATGGGAATATTAAGATCTGGTTCTCCATGACGTGCTCGATAATGGGTTCTTGTAGATTTATTTCAGTGGCGTAGCATTTCTCTGGGTTACGTCCATCAATTAATTTATAGGTGCAGGTATCTATTTGGGTGTAGTCCTGTTGGCAGTAGTATCTGGTTTCGAGGATGGGACATTCTTCTTTTATCGATAGTGATTTTTCTCCTTTTGCCAAGTAGGGATATAAAGGAATATATGTTTGATGATTTTGTATTACGGGGTAAACATGGAAAAAATCGTAATTTTCGCTTGGATTCGTAAAAGGTTACTTGGGTACTGACAAACAGATAGTATGTTAGGACATTGTTAAATTTTACGATTTGTTCTTCTTTGTATATATGTGATAAATATGACATCATTTCTGAGATTTCTTGGGTAGATATTATTGAATTATGAAGAGTATTTAATTTAGAGAAAACTATCGAATTTTCAATATTGTCAATAAATGATATTAAATTTTGGCAATCAAGATTAATCTGGTAAAGAATACTTTGATAAGTTATGTAATTATCCAAAGTGATTATTATGGTTTCTAATGAATATTTAAATTTTTCTATATTGTCTTGCAATTTTTGTTGATTTTGCCACAAGGTTGATAAAGATTGATTATAATGATTAACAAGCTTTTTGTACTAACTTGACTGAAGGTTAAGTTCATGAATTACATTTTCTGATTTAGTTGTAAAATATTAATTGCTTTATCGTATCGTTCTCCATCGTCAGCATCTAAAGTTCCAAAAGCCCATTTATTAATTTTGACTATTCCATCTATTAAACCTCTTTTAGAGCGAATATGTGGATGTAAATTTTCGAATTTTCTTTCGAGAATTTTTATTAAGAATTCGGTTCTTTTTGTCATTTGTTCAGCTAAGTTATGAAAAGATATTTTTTGTTTTACTTTGGGTTTTCTAATTATATTTTTATGGTAATTTCCTTTATTAGTTTGTAAGATAAGGCCTGAATCTTGGACTACTTCAGTCTTTTTAAATTTTGGTGCCTTTTTATCGCGCAATTTTGTTTTGACGTATGCAACGTGCTGGTTAGAGAAATCTGGAGGGTCATTTCGATTTTCATTTAATTTATTAATTATTTGTTCTTTCGTTTTTTCGTTTCTACTTTTTATTATTTCGCATAACTGTTTACTTACTTTTTTATGGTTTTGTACATAGTATGATAACATAAGGTTATCGTCCAAGTCGAAAGGATCTGGTTTATTAATGTGTCCTTTTATTATTTCAAATGGGGTAAACTTAGTTATGGAATGAATTGAATTATTATAGCTTAAAATAGCATGTTTTATTAATTGGTTAGAAGTTAATTCTTTATTTTCTTCTCTAAGACAGCGAAAGCATTCTATTAGTGTAGAATGAAACCTTTCTACGGGGGAGTTGGAATTACTATTTTTAGAAGTTGTGAAATGTAGTTCTATATGGTGAAGTTTACAAAAATCTATAAGGTCATTATTTTTAAATTCTGTGCCACAGTCGGCAGTAATTTTATAAGGTAAACCGTGGTGGCTTACGAAGAGAAGTAAATTTTCCACTACGGAGGTGCCATTGACACTAGGTAAAGGATATGCTTGGGCATATCTCGAAAATGAATCTATAATCGTTAAATATGATTGGTTAGAAATTTTAAAGATATCTACATGAATATGTTCAAAGGGTTTTGATGCAGTGGGAGTTAGACTAAATTTTATAATTGGAGGATTTCTATCGTATTTATTTTTAAGACAAGTTTCGCAATTATTTATAAATTGTTCGATATCTTCTGCCATTTTTGGCCAATAGTAACGTGATCCTAAGGACATTTTTACTTCGTTTATACCGCGATGTCCTTTTTTGTGTATGTGATAATACTCTAATGTTTCTTTCTGTTCCCGAGTATCTATTATGTCAGTTAAACATTTTGTAGAATGTACAAACTTTAAAGCGGAATTTTTAAAATAATTCTGAACTATTACTACAAATGTTTCTGGTAAAATATTTTCTTTAAAGTACAAAGCATAAGTCTTTTTGGGATCTATATATTCTTTTACAAATTTAAAAATACTTTCTTCAATATATCTTTGGGGTAAAGTAACATAAAATCTGTTATTATCAAATATTTGTTCATTTTTGCATTTTATTTTATTTATTTCTCCACCTGTTAATATAATTTGATTTTTATAAGTATTTAGGGCCTTTTCGGTTATGGGTATACCTAGAATGGGATTTTCTAAAGAGGTATGACAGGTTTCTAAGTCTGAGTCATTTCTTTCGGGATTTTCGAAAGGGGGTCGAACTTGTATGTCCGAAATAATATTTATTTTACTAGTTAATCCATCATTTAGTAAGGAGTCAAGGTCTCCTTCTGAAAGTTGCGGTAAGTCGTCAAGGTTGAGTAGTTCATTATCTATTATTTCATTTATGTCACCTAAATTAACGTCCATCGATTCCGTTTCGAGAGCATTTAAATCGGAATCTATTTTAATTCTAGAAAGCGCGTCGGCTACTTTATTATTTTTCCCTTTTAAATATTGGATATCATAATCAAATTCTTCGAGCTTAAGTCTCCACCGTACTAAGCGAGAGTTTGGCTCTTTAAGTGAAAATAACCACTGAAGGGGTTATTTTCACTTAAAGAAACATCAGTTAAAATTTGGAATCTGCGACCGAAGAGATATGGTCGAAAATATTTGCAACCGTATACAATCGCTAATAATTCTTTCTCTATGGTGGAATAATTAATTTCGGCTGAATTTAAAGTACGTGAGGCGTAACATATAGGGTGGTTATCTTGCATGAGAACGCTGCCAATTGCATAATTAGAAGCATCAGTTATTAATTGAAAATTTTTGTTAAAGTCGGGATAAGCTAAAATAGGTTCTGAAGTCAAAAGATTTTTACAAATAATAAAACAGTCTAAGAATTCTTTGTTGTGGATAACTTTCTGATCCTTTTTTAAACACATGGTCATAGGTTTAGTTATAGCTGCGAAGTTTTTAATGAATTTTCTATAGTATCCTAACAAACCTAAAAATGATTTTATTTCTTTCTGCGTACGAGGGATTGGAAAATTTTTAATCGCTCTAATCTTTTTTGGATTAGGCTTAACTCCGTCTGGGGTCACTATATGCCCTAAAAATTCAACTTCCTTTCTAAGGAATTCGCATTTGTCAATTTGTATTTTTAATTGTGCGTCTTTTAATTTTGCAAACACCAATTTTAAGTTTTGAATGTGCTCTTGGAGGCTTGTGCTAAAAATAATTATATCGTCCATATATACCATACAGATTTTGTTTTGTAAACCCTTTAATATTTCATCCATTACCCTTTGGAAGGTGGATGGTGCGTTTTTTAAGCCAAAAGGCATTCTTAAAAATTCGTAGTGTCCATTATTGACACTAAATGCTGTTTTTTCTATGGAGCAGGGGCTCATCTCGATTTGATGAAAGCCGCTAGCTAAGTCAAGAGTAGTAAAATATTGTGCTCGTCCTAATTTGTCCAATATTTCGGTAATA